GCTCTGCGGGGGGTGGGATGGCCAGATATAACTGGGCAGGGGAGTCTTTTGGTTCAGGCGTGACTTTCTCAGCGCGGCTGCTTTCATTGCCAGCTCGGAGCGGCTTATTTTCACTTTTGCGGTGGGCATTTGCCCTTTCTTTGTCAAATTCATCCCAGGAATCAGCACCCAAGGCAAATGTCTCAGGTTTCAAGCAAAGTTTAAGCGCGGAGACGGTTGGGTAGAATCCTAGAGGTGGCTCGGTCCCTTCGTGGAGCTCTCTGCTCCTAGCAAGGCTTTGGATTCGATCCCAAGTATCATATGAAAATAGGTTGGCTGAGGGGGCCCACGGCGCCGCCTGTAAGACAGCCTCCCAAGTCTTATGGGCCGCTGTATCACTCAGATCTAGCCCCTGGCTCTTGAGCAGGTACTTTAAGCCTTTAAGGCTGGGTCATCTGGCTTCCCGAGAGAGCCCCCCATTGAGAGTGGATATACTTATATATATAGATATATACAAAGTGAGGGTCAAAGAGCACAGGGGCCCTTCCCCTCTTGGCACTTACCTCGCCTAACGATTGCTCCTGGGCGGTAAAACCCCTTCCAGGGGGCTGCTATGCAGGCCAGATGCCCCTTTGTCGTCCGTCTTTCAGGACCCAGCAGCTGAACAGCCGTGCACTCCCTTTGTGTCCTCACACGGGGAACCACTTGTCGGGGTGGAGGGGAGTCGGCGGCCGCGCCGGTGCCCCGACAACTAGCTAAACTGTGCTCGGCTCAAGGAAACGAGGCCGAAGATTACTCCCTGCCTCTACCTCCCTGTGCAAGAGGGAACGGGGCGGGAGAGCCCAGGAGATAAGTAAGTGCAGCCACCGGCCCCAACCCGGCTCACAAAGGAGCACTCAGACGCGGTGGGGGTTCTGTCAAGCAGTTCCGTTTATTCAACTCAAAGNCCATAGTCACTCCCCCTTTACGTCCTCCAGGCACCATCCTGAACATGTGTGAAGAACAAAGGGAACAAGCAGTCGTCATTAGGTATAGGAACCATCTGTGCCAGGAAGGTAGCTGCCACCCAACAGGACTTCTAATAACTACTAAGGACAGAATCCTTCTTTATACCGATGTTTAAGGAACAAGGAGAGGAAGATATGTTCTTTTGTGGAATACACAGAAAAAAATAGATGGTGAAAAGGGAACCGAGAAAGTGTGCATCTGTGGCTATCAAGGGTATTTAGAGTTTCAGGAAGAAAGTGGAAGTTCTATGCTAAATGTAGTAGAAAAGTCAAAAATTAAAACCGTGTACTAAATCTTCACTACAGCCTTATTCAACTCCCTTCTTTTTTTTTTTTTAAAAGATGACTGGTAAGGGGATCTCAACCCTTGGCTTGGTGTTGT